GATTGTTCTGTTGTTATATGTTCTTTCAAAACATTATTTAAAGTCTTTTCAAATTAAAACTCCTTTTGGGTCCGTACACTAAAATACCTGGGTCATGTATGGTCATGGTGTTACAATCATACTAAGTGGTTGGTGTGTTAGGCTGACTTCTCTAGATAAGAAAAACTAGTGAGAAGGAGAGAGAATACAACATTATATCAAGAAAATGGTGCACAGTTGTAGAAACGGGTAAATACAGTCCATGTCTAGGTAGATTCCAAGCCTGTGGATCCTAACTCCCATAGCTTTGGGAGGGGATGAACCCATGATCAGCAAGAATAACACAGACTGGTGGCATCAGAGGAAGGTGAATTCAAGGTTAACTGGCTGGATGACAGGTCAGGTGGCAGACCACAGATGGCTCCTGGGATCAGCAGGCAATATGGCAGCTCAATGTCTCAAATCCAAAGAACCAGAGGTCAAGAGCCAGATTCTGGATCCAGACCCAGCAAAAACAAAGCAAAACAAAATAAAACTTGTCTACAGCATCTCTTTATATAGGTAGTAGGCTATACCCTCATGGAAGCATCCGTTCAATTTTATCAGGGCTGTGACTTGAATAAGGAGTTACATTCCACCCTAATCTTTTTGCAATTAATTGGCTGTTCACTTCAGAACCCATTTTGGCGTTGATTACATTTTGTTTAGGTTACTTAATGATGTTGTTAAACCAAACCTAACTCACTGCCACGAGTCGACATTGACTTACAGTGACCCTGTACGACAGGGTAGAACTGTCCCTGTGAGTTTCCCAGATTGTAACTTTTTATGGGAGTAGAAAGCCCTGTCTATTTGGATTGGCTGGTGGTTTTGAACTGCTGACCTTGCAATTAGCAGTCCAAAAGGTGTACAACACATAACACTAAGCGACCTGGGCTCCCAAGGTATTTGTAGGATTTTAAAATAAATTAACCATATTCTATAGAAAATATATATAGAATAGAATAGAATCAATACTATTGTTGACCCCAAATGATGAAAACTGCATTTCTCTTTTATTTCCTCCTCCCCCCTCCTTTTTTTCTCCTTTCCTGTTCTTCCTTCCTTCTTCCCATCCCCTCCCCCTTCCCTTTTCAATGCAGGTGTTTCCTATTATCCAACTGCCATAAAGCTGAAGCTCTTTTGAAATTGGAGCCTAACATTTATTGCACACAAGATGAAAATGTGGTTGCTGGTCAGTCACCTTGTGATGATATATTTTACAACGTGTCTAGCAGGTAAGAAATACATTTTGCATAGTCTCCATAAATTATGCAAATATAACTAATATGTTTATTTCATTAAGCCTGGTGTATGACATTAGAATTAATATTTTCTTATGAAACCTAAATTAGACAAGTAAGTGAATGTATAACAATGTTGCAAAATCATATACAATGTGAATGGGGTGGCGGCGTGGAACGGAGACCCAATGCCCATCTGTAGACAATTAGACACCCCCTCACAGAGGGGTTACAGGGAAGACATGAGCCAGTCAGACCGCAGTATAACACAGATGAAACACACAACTTTCCTCTAGTTCTTTGGTGCTTCCTTCCCCCCATTATCATGACCTCAATTCTACCTTGCAACTCAGATTAGACTGGAACACACACACTGCTACAGATAAGAGCCCACAACACAGGGAATCCAGGATAGATAAACCCCTCAGGGCCAACAATGAGAGTAGAGATACCAGGAGGATTAGGGGAGGGTGGGGGCAGAAAGGGGAAATTGATAACAAAAATCAACCTATACCCCCCTCCAAGGAGGATGAACAATGGAAAAGTAGGTGAGGGGTAATAGAAGACATTGTAAGATATGAAAATAATAATCTCTACCTTAGCAAGAGTTTGTGAGGGA